AGATAGACTCTGTACTTTCGTACGCTTTTGATCCCAATAAGCTACAATTTTTTGTTTATACCGTGCACCGTCGCAAACTCGAACCATTATTTTTCAATTTTGCATGCTCGCGCTTTGTCATCCGCCATTTTCAATAAATTTATTTTGCAACATTGAAATAAATTGATTCTTAAAGTAGAGATTTTTAGCTTCATTTCCATATTTTATAGAACTTTCTATCTTTATTATTTACGAAGTTATCGTCAGTTGAAATTTGATGAATTTTTCCCACATTTTCAGTGTACCGCTTTTTTTTCGGGTAAGTGTATATATTTCTATATAATGCATAATATGATGACATAGCACGTAACAAGGTTGTATATGACATACGAGCACCATCTGTGTTTTGATTGAAGATTTTTTTTTCGAGTATTGTATTGTATTATTGGTTTATTTATTTTATGATATGCATGCAACTTTTGAATTGTACTGTAATCTATTTTTTCTTATAATAATGTATCTAAATCTTGACTAGTACAATACTATTGTTTCCCCTTTTTTAATACATATCCAAAGATAAGTTTTGAAATTATTAAGTGTTTTGATTTTTTTCCAAAATTTTTTACATTGTTATGATATTTCAAGCTTACAGTGATGAAACGAAATGTACAAATGTTTATATAGTTTGGCATTCTCGAGCGTCCTAGAGCGTCCAAAATCCTGCACTATCGAATGTGATTCTATCGAATGTGCTGTTCTGTATTGTTTATCATTCGAGGATTTCCTCAGTATTAGTAGCTAGAGTTAATCTAATCAAGAACAATTTACAAATGCTCTTGCACATATCGTGATTAGATATAAAAATTATTAGTTTAAACTATATCTCTGTTTTGTTAAATTAATTGCATTTATTATTTTGTGATTTAAGTGTATTGTCATATACATCTTTTGATTCAGTTATTATGATTTAATGTTATAATTTTGATGCCGATTTTAATAAAATGGCTGTTAAAACACAAGATGATAAATATTTTTTCCAAAATATTTGCTGAAGTATTATGTGATAGTATCTATGATACAATTTAAAAAAGCAGCAACTCAATATCTTTCACTTTTATAGAAAATTTTAATCTTTTAATGTTTTAATAATCTATCAATAAAAATTATAAATGACATAATTACACGTTGTAAGTAAAATATAAATAAATAATAGATATTCTAAGCAATTTGAGAAAAAAAAATCCGTTTTTTTACGTAAAATTTTTAGTTGCTGCTTTTTGCATTTGTGCTATTATTGTGTTTAATAAAGCTTCGATTGTGTTTTAGTAACATTTAAGTCATTTCTACCTTTCGTATTAAAATATCTACAAATTAGTTTACTTCATTACGATCATGTTACTTCTTAAAGATAACGGATATTATCTCAATGTAAAGCGAGTATTTTGCTTACAGTGAAATAAATATCTAATGACAATTTATCACGATAATTTATATTGTACTCACTTATACTTGCAGAATAGCTTTAACGGAAAGCAATTTTTCTCTTCTAATTGTAAAGTACTATATATAGAAGATTCTTGAAATATTTAGAAACTATATTTTTTTATAAATCGTGTTTTTTATAAATCGTTATTATATTTATTCGCTTATTTAACCCTAGCGTCTGAGCGAGTTGTCGATTAAATACTGCTTACTCGCGATTTATGCATTACAAGCGTTTCTAATCAAATCATACTTCTTGCTAATTATATGTACGATACATTTCTCCAAAACATCTTGAATACATAAACATGTATAAAATTTTTTATTATAAAAATTGTTATGTTCCAATCAAAATCATTCAACTTGTGTTTAAAACATTATTAGTAATAGTTTGAAGTAAATCAATTTAACTGTGACACCCTGTTTATGCACATGTATGTGTGAATATATGATTATGTACAATATACATTTTTTTTGTTTTCACAAATTCTAAAGTAACAAAAGTTATAACGAGTTATGCTTTTCATGTTTTCTACAAATAATAAAATATTTTAGATACAAGCCAATGGATTTTATTTTTTATTTTCTTTTTTTCTGAACGTCTGTTACATAAATTAGTTAATAATTTAACAAACTTTAGTAGTCATGGATACGTTTAACAATTGGCGAACCGACGTGGTGGCGATATGCCAAGGATGTTATGTCGGTCGATTATCAGTGAACTCTCTCTTCTCGAGAAAAAAACGGTCCCATGCGATGTGACGGGCGCGGGTGAAAACGATCGTGCGACGTTTACAAAATCGACGAGTGACAGAAGCAAGCAGAAGCAGAAGCATGGTTCTATCACCTCTACTGTCAAACTCATCGCTGCCGATATGTTTGAGAACTCTCGTACGTGTGACATCAACCAGGAACTTCGTCAGAAGTCGACATAACCGCGCTTTGCCGCCGACAATTTTAACGAAAGTCTTTGGCAGTAATAAAGGAAAGACATTCGGGAAAGAAGCGACTGCTGGTTCGGCGCAGAAAACGCTTAATTTCGTGTAAATATCCTTATTGTTATGCCTACATACTTATACAATAATTTGAAAATTTTAATAAAATATAAAAACGAAACTTGATGTATTCCAAGTTTGCTTAGTAATACATTTTTTTTTAATAAATGAAATATCGTCATAATGGATTGTTAATTAAATCTGCAAAGAGGATTTTTCGGGGAAACTGATATAATCAACTTTGAGATGCAAATGATTTTAAGCATGATTTAGAAATATTCATGAATAGTCATGATGTAACGTTTCGTCAGAATATTGAAGGAAAACGAATTATTCGAATTTTAGTTCACCATGTTTGCGAGAAGAACTCTTGTGCAAGGTCTCAGAGCCTGTCAGAGACTGTTGCCATAAAGTCACTATTGTTGGTGCCGGTATGGTCGGCGTTGCCATTGCCAATTCACTTCTCTTTCAAGTACCACGATCTTTTATACGCTTTTTAATTTAAATTTTGTCTTTGAACTATTTGAATTACTTGCTAGGTTACTTATTTCAAATTAAAGTAAAAATTTGTATATTATACAATTATAATTAAAGAAACGTATAAATATCATTTGCTTTATGCTGCGCATTAGTTATATAAATCACGTATAATTTTTTCGTGGATTAGAAATAAGAGTGGATCAAAATTTAATCTATTTAGTGGTATGTTTGATTAGTTTTTATAATTACGATTTTTTATTTAATATTAGCGAATTACTTCACATATCGCAATGGTAGATATCTTTCCTAAAAAACTCGAAGGCGAAGGAATGGACTTCTGTCACAGTTCCGTATTTATAGGAGATCCAAAGATCGAGTATGATACTGGTAACGGGTTTATTAAATATATATAAGTTAAAAAAATTGTACACATTTGTTTGTTTATATAAAATGCAATTAATTTTGTATATTCTGAAGACTAAGGGTTACAATCAAAATCTCATATTTTACAAAAGTATATTTACTTGTATCAATCCATTTGTTTCTAATGCTTCACTTTCTTTCTACTTAAAATAATTTTTTTCTGTTTGTATTTTAAATTAAAAAAGTATTTCTTTTGTAGATTTTTGTATAAGCCAAAATTCAAAAGTCGTAGTCATTTGTGCGGGTGTACGACCACAGAAAGGCGAAACTCGACTTAATTTGGTGCAAAAAAATACAGAGGTACTCAAAAACATGATACCACCTCTGGTAAGCTACAGCCCGAATGCGGTGTTCCTCATCATTAGCAATCCAGGTTAAAATTAATTAATCTTGCAAATGGTTCTATTAGTTAATACGTCACGGCAGCAATATCGCGATACGAAAATTTGACGCGTCTGAAATGACTTCCTTATATAGTGGATATTTTGGCCTGGATCACCTGGAAAGTAAGTGGACTTCCGGTCCATCAAGTAATCGGCAGCGGAACCCACCTGGACAGCGCAAGATTTCGCTATTTGATTGCTGATCGATTAGGAATAGCGCCGAGTTCGGTGCAAGCAAACATAATTGGTGAACATGGGGACAGTATGGGTGAGTTTTCTCAATCCTTGATAAATCGATAGATAAAAAAACTATGCTATGCAATTAAGTTCAATCTAGCATTCAATATTTTCTAGTTCCGCTCTGGTCAGGAGTGAATGTGGCAGGAGTGCAATTTCGCGATATTATTCCAAATATCGGTTTAGAGACGGATGACGAAAAATGGTACGAAATATCGAAAGAAGTTGTGAAAATGTGAGTCTAAAATAATTTTATTCTACAAAGAAATTGCTTAGTGCAAAAATATTACATTTCTTTCGTAAAGATCTGGTTTTTAAAAATATGAACTTTGGAAAAAAAATGTTTATTATTTAGTTTAGTTGCATATGTAACTAATGAATAGCTTGAATAAAAAAATTATTTTTATAGTATATCGTAGTAATTTAACATATCTTATTTGTTTAGGGGTCCGACAGTGCGATGTTTAAAAGGATACTCCAATACGGCCATTGGGCTTTCTACAGTCGACATAATAATAGCAATATTGCGCAATACACAAACGATAATGCCAGTTTCGACTTTAGTTCAGGTATATTTTATTATGCGCCTTGCTTTCCAAGAATATGTTATTTATGACAACAAATTTTTTTTATTTACATAATAAATAGTGATTAATGTCACCGATTATTTTTATGTATGTTGCGAAAACAAATAAAAATATGCTGAAATAAAAATATAATATATAAAAGTAATTCGTACTATTTAAAAAAAATTATTATTATATTAATTAAATAACTTTGAAAAGTTGTAAAATTTTATATTGAGCAAATTTGTCCCTTTAGGGTCATCATGGTGTAAGCAACGATATGTTTCTATCTCTACCTTGCGCGATTGGCGAAAATGGCATTACGCAGATCGTTCGAATGCATATCACTGAACATGAGAAAAAGTTGTTTCAGGCTTCGGCGAACATCGTATATAACGTACAAAAGGACATTAAAACTTGAACAAAAGAAAAAGATCGTGTAAACGCATTTTATTTTTGTGTAAAAAGTGCTATTAAATGTAATAAATTATACGTAACTTCTCACACTTTTCTTTATTATGATTGTCATGTTAATCGTTTGCCGCATAGGATGATTAAATTTTTTTTCGCCATGTGCAGAAAGATCCGCGCTAATCGGATGCTCCGATTGCTAATTTATGCAAATCAGGGAAGAGATTACAAATGGATTCTCCGAATTGCGTCTCTTCGAATTTGACGGTAATTTAAATTGATGGAATGGTCTTCGAGAATGATGAACGATATTACTTCGCTAACCATCTTCAGGTGCTAAAATCGGATTCAAAGAATTAATGACGTCAATGACCCATTTTTTACAATACCTGGCAGCATCTGAGGCACGTAACGCTTGATTTGCGCAACTTTAATCTCACGTTTTTTCCAAGTAAGACTTCGACGAATTGTAGTTTCACATTTTCGGAATTTCCTGCGCGTGTGGATATCAAATTGATACCTCCAGGAGGCGGTAAGAGTGCTCGTCATCGTCATTTCCACAACGCGCAAACGAGCGAAAGGTGACCAGTGGATGGTACCAGAAGGCCGCGATTACGCCGCAGGCTAGGCCACGGCAAGGTGAGAGAAGGATGTGAAAACTGTGCGCAAGATGGCGTTTCGAAGTGCCCGAAGCCTGTACAATAGGCATATCCACCTGCATTTGAAGCTGCACAGGGCCGTAAGAGAGTTCAAGTTTCTCGAAAGCTATTCTCGAAAGAATAAAATATCGCGTTACGAGTATTGCATTTATCCTGATCTATCGTCGAATATACTGCAATTAGGTATGCTAATGATAATACAGTCTATGACGACGCGAAGGAAAAAGAGGAATGATTCAACACGCGCAAAAAATAGTGAAACATTTAGATATTCATGGAGATATTAATATCGCCGAGGAGGCGAGCAGCACTTTGAACCATTCCCCCTTTACTCGTTGTAGATCCACTTGAAAGGCTAAGCGTGTCATTGATTTTGAAAGAAGGATTCTGCGTAAAACATATATTACAAGTGTTTGCAACAGAGTTACATAAATTTCTGGTCGATTCCGAATAGCTACGCGATCTGGGGTTAATCTGAGATGACTTTGAGACTGACATCCAATTCAATAGGAAGACTTTTCAGTGAAATAAATTCCTGGCGATAAGCAATTCGCGATAAGAATAGACAGAAAATTGCCACTCAACGTTTGCCATCTATCCATTAACTCATGATTAACATCACTTAGGCATGCATCAAATCGATTTAATCTGACGTAAAGTCTTCATCTTTCAATCTTTATTTCTCAATCGCGAGATCTTCGTGATAGATGATGTGTTTTGCATGTGTAATGTTTCGTTTAATTTTCCTAATTGACTCTTTCAATATTTCCCTTTTCGTGCAGTCAAGAGTTTATATAATAGTATATATCGAGCGATATCTTTACAAAATTAAAAAAAAAAAATTAGTAACATTTGATCTAAAGAGTTTAGACACAAAATAATTGTCTTTATATTCGACGTTGAACTTTCTTATATTCGATGCAAATTTAAAGTATGCGCCATTCCGGAATTGCTTTATCAATAAATATATTCCAATTCTTTTGCAAGAGCATGAAAATATTGGCGTCCCGTTGTTTCTCGTTCAATTCTCCAAGCAGGCTTAACTCAGGTGGGTTCTATAGGTGACGCTCACACACCTGGCTCTCAGGTGGAGGTGGCACAGCCGGGCCTCATTCTCCGTTGGTCCCGCCGTCAGTGGAGCTCAGTCAGTAGACAGTCGGTCCGCCCGGTCAGCTGGTTCCGTTCATTCACGCGTTACTCGGGCTTCCTGATGGTAAAGTCATCACGAGCGACCAGATAGATCCCGGCGCCTTCGAGCTCCTCCAACAGACTCGGTCAGCGATCGGACAGAATATCGGCGGCCCGCGCGCCGCATGTGTGCGAGTGTGCAGCATCTCCACCGGAAATATCAACGGTGCGAGGGACCGGGTCGTCCGTAGAAGAGGAAGAGACGGCGACGGAGGAGGAAGCAGAGGGTAGCGATTCAGGAAGGAGACGAAGCAGGAAATGACAATATCCTACGCGAGCGAAGTGCCGAACGGCTCCAGCTTTGGCTGCTTCTGGAGGATTCTGATCAAGTGAGTCTCTCGATCTCCGCTGCTTGTTCCGTGCAATCTAACGCCAAGCCCCTAGCTTTGATACGCTAAATGAATATACGCGGCTTTTTGCGGTCTACGTTTGACGTAGGCACCGGAGCTGTCAACTCGCTAGCGACTGACAGGTGGGACCGGCAACAGGCGCGTGGCAAGAATTGTTTCTTGTGTATTCCTCGGTTCTAATCGCATCGCGATGTTTCATTCTGTCGTTTGTCAAATAAATATTTATTTTGTTTTATTTTCCAGTAATTTCTAATTCAACTGACAATGAGTTTGAAGAATCGCAATATTTTATTCGCCGTTGCGAGTTATTTGCTTTTCCAAATTTTTTATTAATTATAATCGGCAAAGGTTGTATGCAGACCTACTTTTACTTCTGCTAAGTTGCATAAATTATTAAGTGACAGTATTTTTTATTGAAACTCGAACACGTGATCGGCTGGCGGCATTTGCGATTATGCGATTATTGCAAAATGTAGCAGTTTCGTGATACGAATTTGTCAAAGAACATCAGAATGTATTGGAGGATTAAGATTATTTCGTCATTTATTTTTTATACAGAGTGGTCCACACAAAATCTGATCGAGCTTTTAGCCGTCTACGCGTTGTCAGTATGCCATTAAAACGAAGACGTTGCGTTATTGCGACCGGCTGATCATTGTGCAACGTTTAACTTTCGATTTAATGCTGCACTCTCGATTTATAGCCTAGTTATATAGAAAGAGAAAAGGAATAATCCTTCAAGGATTCAACAGCTATTCTGCTGGAAATAGAAAGACAGGACATCCTTTAGGTATACTCGTATATAGCTACTTGCATTCACGCATCAAAACGTTTGATAATCCAAAACAAATTGATCAGTCACATGTTTCGAGACTCGTCGAAAATTAGCATCGTCGATTAACAACGTCCGTCCCAAATTTTACATTTTAATCATTGAAAAAAAATGCGATCTCGCGCGAATCACAATAGCGGAGCACGTAAAAGTCGTTAACACAGAAATAATGCTCGGTCAACGCTTGCTCGCGCGTTTTAAGGAAATAAGGTCGTCGATACATCGAACGACGCGCGCGTCACGCTTGTGCCTGGAATATCGTCGCTGAAAATTACTGTGCCACTACACGCTGATCCGTGTGTCGCTTATCTGATACGTAATGGATAACAATGGTAATGTTTATGTTGGAGGGATTGACTTGACAACATTAGCCGGACATGTGTTTAATCGAGTATGCATATGTAAACGTATCGTATGCCCAGAATACAGTAATGTCGCGCTATCATTGAGACCGTTCTTTCTGAATGATCCATCATGAGTGTGTGAACACTGTCAATAAATTCTGACATATCTCACAGGTGTTTTTTATTTAATTCCAGAGGTATGGCAGGAAATATTGATTAATGATATCCATTACATTTCCGTCATTTCATCAGTCTTTCAAAAATAGTCATGCATTATAAACGATATATTTGCGAAAGAGTAATAGATATTAAATGTCATTGCTAATTATTAATCACAATTAACTATTATTAATATAAAACCCAAATATTTTCCCTCTACACATATTTCTGATTAAATTCTGCAGTTCCGCTACTGATAATACTGGATGTTTTGCAAGAACTGCTATATCTTGTCTGCGAAATGCGTCACAGTAATCTGCCGTGGTAAAATTCCAGAAATGTGACCGATATGAGTTTTACACACCCAAGACGATTGTTTCATCTTAATTACAGCATAGTGCCATCAAACGTTCATAGTCCAAAATTCCAGTAATCTAAAATTGTTCGTCATTAAGTCATTGCATAATCATTCCTGTAAATCGGTGACATCAATGCCTGTCGAGAGCGTCTACACGATTCACAGTGTCGGAAATTACGTATGAAATTAAACGTTATACAATCTAGGATTTTTGTAGAAGAACATGAGAGTAAGGTGCGATTTCGTTCGAAACAATTTGCTACATTTAAGTACAATGGCTGATTGTTCGAAAATTTCCAAAAGGATGACGAGCAGAATCACTTGATTAAATAGAATTTATTCGACGATAACGATACGCCAATAATTGCTCAGCACGTCAGCCATTTCTCAAATACAATCGCGAAATGCAAAATATTTATAAACTTACTTTATCGTCAAAATAATTGTCAAAATTCTTGTCAAAATAATAAATAAAAGAAGAAAAATAGATCAAAATTGCGCTGTTTTCAAATAACAAAATGTTATATTTTTCTATACAACTCCCTCTTCTATCCTAATCCTCCCTCTTCCGTCAAAATATAAAACGGATGTGATAATTGTATTTTAAATCATTCGCATGACATGACAAACTATTTGCTGCTGACAATAAGACTCGCAGAGAGAAACATACATTATTATGAGTTAAAATATTATTGTATTTATACTTTACCGATTATACAAATTTATGCGAAATTATTGTCATTACTAATAATAGATGGCAAGAGCATTTTCTGCTAGAAAATTCACTAGTACAGTTTTGAGATATAAATACGTCTAATAAAAATATGATAAATAGATAGTTAAAAAAAACAGTATATCAAATAAAACAATTATATTTCTACACAATTTTTTTTCTGCTGCAAACTCGTTTCGATGCGATGACATGCATTTCGCACTCATTCGCAAAAATGCATCTGAAGCACCAACCTATTACCATTCGCGGCGTCCTTGTAGAAGCCCGTTTGTTAACATTTCCGCGACCTTTACACACATATACCTTTACATATTGCGTCGGTGGATGCTCCCTAGTGTCGGTTTCTCTCCGAGCGCCTCAGTGGAAACGGTATTAACGGCTTTCACGTAAGATCTCGCTTTCCTATGCGCGTTATACTACACATTGCAGTTGTTAAAGGAAAGACGACAGCGGCCAGTCTATAAATACGCCAGAATGTCCAGGAATAGAAAATCTTTCGCGATAGCGTGCAAACGAGAGCGCATATTCCGTAAGTCGGTTCTTGACAGAAATTATGATTAGCTATAATTTGCGGAGAAAGGAATGCCTATCTCTTATATGTTTTCCCGCTATTCTTGATATCTTAGGTATATAATTTTTCATATTTTTTGAACGCCGCATTCTTCATAGGATTATTTCGATTCTAGAACAGCCGTGTTTTTCGCATCGTCATTCACAATAAAAAGAAATAGTTCGTTACTATATTAGTTATGCCAAAGATAATTAGCGATCTTGCTTCGGCATTTCATCGCTAGCGTTTTGCTCCTTTAGATGCAGCGAGCACGCGAAGCACTCTTTTTTTCTCATTTGAGTCTTCCGCGGTGACCCATACCAGCTTTCTTATCCGCTTGCCGGTGCTCGCTGGCAAAAGGAAGCACGATCACCGATCTATAAATACTCAAGAGAGCCCCCGGAACATACTATAAATACATACCATGTCCAAGAATAGAAAATCCGCTTTTCCAGTACGTTGATAACGATCGAGCGGGCAAATTCTCATGTGGAGCAGATCTGTTACGAGATTAATTATGAATTAAGTTAGATACGATCGTTAGGACGTGATTCTACTGCACCCCAGAGAGATGCGTGGCGTAAATGTCCATGCATGGCGAAGGGCCAATTCCCTCGATTTCTTCTGAGGATTATAAATCGACTCAAGTTCCGTCAACGACGTGCTCTCGAAATTGTCGCAATATTTTTCCAGTATTCTTTACTTTTTATTTCTTCTGATATTTTTCTATGGTTATTTATTTTATTTGGCAACTTTCGACAATTTTATTTTATTTTATTTGGCAACTTCCGACAATTTTACTTGAAATCTTCGTGTTGTTAGTTAACGAGGAAGAAAACTTTATTGTTCAGTGGTCAGTCCGATAACGAGTAATTATCCGAAATATAAAGAATGTGTGACGTTAGCAAAATGACACAAAAGTGTTATACAGTATTTTTATGCTTCATGGTTATCACTTGGAGCATGACATTTGTGCAATAAGTGCCTGCATGTACAGCTGCCCCGATCACGTTCATGCGCGCGAAATACTCGCAGCGCATGAACGGAAGAATCATGGCGGCGAATCGCACGCGTGAAAGCAAGAACGGTTTCACGCCGCGCGGAGCTGGACGCCTAATATAGGCTTTCGTATCGTGTTTGCATTGGCGATTTCATCGAAAAGAAACTACAAATCAAGTGACTTTGATCGATACATCGGCAGCACAATGTTGCCTTCAAAGGGGCACGCAGACGATGCGCAAGGCCAGGTTGCGCGGGCAAAATTTGTGCAGATGTTTGCAGAATTACAAGCAGTTCATGTTGTGAAATAAAAAAAGCGTACGTCGCCGAATCGTTCGATTAATCGTGAAGAATCGTCACGCACTTTATGTAGGACACAGAATAAAACATGGGTATGTCGAAAATGTTGCTCTGGAACAAGGAAAACATAAATGTAAGGAATTACCACTGATTATACCGACGCGATCACTTTAAAACGGAAAATGAGTGCATAATTAAAATTTCCAGGTATTTATATACGCCATGCTATTTTAGAACACACCCTAAAGATTCGAGGGACGTGCTACGAATGTATTGTTTAATATTTTTATATGCAAGCAATTCTTTTCCATTATATATCGAAAATAAGTTTCAAAAAGCAAAAAGAGATATCATGCAATGTTACACGTAAAATGCTGAGTATGAATTCTTGACAAATATGCACACGCATTTTACGTCATTATTATGATATCATTATTTACAATGTTTATTTTGCATTTAATTTTGCATACGATTTAAGATTGTTTTTTAAATTTTAATTTAATTTTAAATTGTCTTGAATATTTAATAGTATTATTGAATAAACTCTTTTAGCGCATGTGTCACTAAAAAAAACCATAAACATTTATAACTTTACTCTTCACAATGAAATATTGCGCATTTATCACTTAATCGTACATAATCTTGAATTATCTCTAGCGTCAATCAAGAATAAAAATTTATTTTTCTTGCAGAAGGAAATAAAA